CTTGACTTTGCACTCCAGGATGTCTGGCTCTAGTTGAGTGATCACACCATAGTGGTTATCTGGGTCGTGAAGATCTTTTTTGTATTGTTCTGTGTATCCTTACTACCTCTTCTTAATATCTTCTGCTTCTGTTAGGTCCATACCATTTCTGTCTTTTATTGAGCCCATCTTTGCATGAAAAGTGCCCTTGGTATCGCTAATTTTCTTGAAGAGATCTCTAGTCTTTCCCATGCTATTATTTTCCTCTATTTGTTTGCGTTGATCGCTGAGGAAGGCTTTCTTGCCTCTCCTTGCTATTCTTTGGAACTCTGCATTCAGGTGGGTATATCTTCCCTTTTCTTCTTTGCCTTTAGCTTCTCTTCTTTTCACAGCTATTTGTAAGGCCTCCTCAGACAGCCATGGTGCCCTTTTGCATTTCTTCTTCTTGGGGATGATTTTGATCACTGCCTCCTGTACAATGTTACGAACCTCCGTCCATAGTTCTTCAGGCGCTCTATCAGATCTGATCCCTTAGATGGAAAACCTTACGGACCTGAATAGACTGTAGTTCCATGGTCAAGAGATATTCATACTCTGAGCTGAAACGTCTCGAAAGGAACAAGGATCAGGCCCAGGCAGTTCCTCAGCAGCAGCAATCACACGAGAAGGGGGTCAGGTATGGCGCCTCAGGACCAAAGAACTTCCGCATAAACCTTCAGGTCCAGGTAAAAAGTGAGTCACTGTAGAATACCGTAGTATCAGTTACACAAAAGCTCGACCTTTCATCACACGTGACATGTTGCTAGACTGTGTATTTGAGAAAAAAGTGACAGAGGGCAGGCACAGGGAATGAGCAATAATAGCAAACGGATAAACAGGCAGAATTATTTTGTAAGTCTAATTAGTTGTTGAGGATTAAAAATAACCTTTTAAATCCTTATTTGAATAATTGAAAGAAATTATTTCCTTAGGATAAAGAGTGTTGAGCCCCTTCTCTGTCTCAGCAAATAACTTTAGTAAAGACAAAATGCATAAAAAGGGCAATAAGAAACACTGCATAGGATTACAAATACGTTCAACCTGGAACATGCCATCAGCATGAGCTAATATGCTCCTTACAACATAAAGCATCGCATTCTATAAAATCCAAAGGAGAGATTGACAAATATACAGTGGTAGGCTTCAATTTATTTTTTAGAGACAAGTCATTAAGCCAACAAAAAATGAGACTGTAGATGATTTGAGCAACACAATGATAAATATATTAATAACATAATAATGTATCAATAAATATTGAATAAAACATTTTAAAGCACAGAAAAAATATTTTCAAAAATCAACCACAAAAATTTTAAAAAGTAATGTGATGAAACTACTTGCTCTAAACATATGCAATTTAATTAGAAACCATAATATGAGCAAACACACCTTACATTTGGAAAACAATCAGACGCTAAAAGAAAATAGTCTTTTATATGATTCATGACTTAATGACACCATGGTGAACATTATAAAGTATTTGAAATTAATGTCAAACTAGTATCAGTACTTGTGGCAATAAGGCTAAAATATTTATTAGATTGTACTTTTTTTAATGCACAGATTTTTAATTTAATTTTTTAATTTGATTTTGAACAATGACAAGGGTAATGAAAGTAAATGAGTTAAGTAAATAGCAAAATGACCTAAAAAAAAGAACAAAATACACCAAATAAAAAGAAAGAAAATCAAGGTAAAAAAAATTAATCAAATTGCAAAAGCTCTATCAAAACTGACCAAAAATATCAGAAAATTTTTAAAGTCACAGTAGAATTTTTAAAACTCATAACACAATGAGCAACTTCATGATAATAAAATTTTAAAATCTAGATTAAAGAAGACAATTTTGAAATTAGCTGAAGAATAAATTGAGAACCCACATAAACCAAATACTAGTAAATAAACCTATAATAAAAATTCTGAATCGCCGCTCTTCTTGGGGGAGGGGGGCAGAGAAGGAAGAGAGTGGCGGGGGAAGGACGTTGCAACCAGCAGGGTGAGAGCCGTGAAGAGTGTCTTCTTGACACCAAAGCAGGCCAAGGACCGTACAGCGAAGGGAAACTACAGGCCAGTTTTGCTTCTGATCACAGATGGAAAATATTCAATAAAATGTTTTTTAAAAATTGGAGGTACACAGTAAATTAAAATAGGTAAACACAGCAAATACGCACATACTCTTAATTTCAACGTAGTGATTACTCTTGAGCAAGTAAGACTGATCTTGGCAATGAAATAATGGGCGGATATCAGGAAGATGTATCAGACCACAGGCTTAGAGGTGACGAAAGGCGGATCTGAGCTTGTGTGGGGATGGGCGTTTTTCTTCCCAGACATGCGGAAGCAGCTCCCGTGCTGGAGGCTGCCTGCCACCCCCATCCTTTGGGCGCTGCGCTTCCTTGTTCCAGCGAGTGTGCGCATCTCCACAGCCGCCTCCATCGCCCATGGTGAGCGCACAGGGCCGGAGACCATGTTACTCATCTTTGTGGTTTCAGCACTTGATAAAGGAGATGCTAGCTGATGCCAAGAGAATGAAAGCCTAGCTTAACTGGTAACATGAGAGCTGCAAAGTACTCCGCAATGCTGAGGGCTGCCCTTTGATGAAACATTCTTACAACAACTTGCTAACAAGTAATTCCTGAAAACGTCTGCAACCACAGCGATGCCCGGCGGAAATGTGTCGGCTTGATCCAAACCAGCCTTCGGCTCAGGCTGTGAGCAGAACTGGAGACAGGGCCAAGCTCTCCTCTCCCAGGTCCATCGTGTGGAGGGTAGTCACCATGGGCTTCCCCCAGCACCATTCCTCCAAGGCAGAAAAGCAGTGGTTTGTGTTCATTAAAAAAAGAGATCAAAGTAGTACTCATCTAACTCAGCCAAGGTGGTTGGGTCATTAACTGTGGGTTTAAAAGTAGATGCTCAGAATACATTCTATTGATTTATTTAGAAGTATATTAGATATATAACATGCAATCTAAGGTACAGAACATGCTAATTAGATACATTGAGATATTGCAATGTGATCGCCATGGTAGCAATAATTAGCAACTCTGTCATGCCACATAATTCTCCTTTCTACGCTCTGTGGTTGAATTTCTTTTTTTAAGTTTTGTTTTATTGATACGTAGTTGATCTACAGTGTTTGTTAGTTTCCACTCTACACCACAGTGACTCAGTTATATATATACACTTTTTTTCATATTCTGTCCCATCATGGTTTTATCACAGGATGTTGAATGAGTTCCCTGTGCTATACAGTAGGACTGTGTTGTTTATCCACTTTCTGTATCACAGTTTGCATCTGCTAATCCCAAAGTCCCAACTCCCGCACTCCATTCCCCTGGGCAACCACAAGTCTGTCCTCCGTGTCTGTGACTCTGTCTTGTAAATTTGTATGTCTGTGCCACATTTTAGATTTCACATGTAGATGCTGTCATGTGGCATTTGTCTTTCTGGGCCTGGCTTCCTGCACTCAGCATGGTTGTCTCTGGCCCATCTCCCTTTTTAGTGGCTGACGTCATTAAGTTCTGTCTTGGTGAGTCTGAAGGTAACACTGTCACTGCATCTTCAGTCGCTGGTCTGTGTTTTGGCGCTCTAGGGCTCACTGGCCACTTACTTACTGGGCTTACTGTTGCATTAGAACACACTTTGGATTCTTTATCTGTGCCTTTGCTGGTGATTTCCAGATGGGCACTGGTCAGTATTGTGCTGTGGATGAAAGCAGCAGAAGGTGGGGAGACAGTTGATACCTGAAAACATAATTCATTTTTAATGAGAGGGTTTATGTGACAACATGGTAACATAAATCACTGCAGTACAATTTCCCTTTGGGGATAATTTTATCACTCATTAACTCTTTCAGTGTATGCTTTGAAGATAAGATTCTCTGCAAAACATTTTAATCCCTCAATGAGCTCTGATTCCTCTGGTTAGATTTTAATTTGGACTTTAAAATTGGCATTAGAAATTGTCCTTGCTAAAAATAATAAGAAAACAATAATGCAGTTTAAATATTGAAAAGCATCATTACATTTTTTCACATACATATTATGTTTATTCTTGATTAAATGATAGTGAGCATTTTTCAAATTTATTATTTAAAAATTGAGGTATAATTGGCATACATCATGTGGGTTTCAGCTGTACAGAATAATGATTTTTTCTTTGTATATGTAGCATATGATCACAATGCAGTCATTTTTTTTAATTTTAATTTCTTTACTTTTGACTGTGCTGGGTCCTTGTTGCCGTGTAGGCTTTCTTTAGTTGGGGTGAGCGGGCCTACTCTAGCTGTGGTGCGCAGGCTTCTCACTGCGGTGGCTTTTTTTGTTGCCGAGCATGGGCTCAAGAACACAAGCTGTGTCGCTGCAGCACACGGGCTTAGCTGCTCTGCGGCATGTGGGATCTTCCTGAATCAGGGACTGAACCCGTGTCTCCTGCATTGGCAGGCAGGTTCTTTACCACCAGGGAAGCCGAAAGCTGCATCATGGCCTTAGGTGTGTTTATGTCACCTGTGTAAATGGGCATGCACTTCCTAGAACACAAGGAAGTTGAGCTGATATGCTTTGCCAACCAGGAGACTCTCTTAACCGATGGGAGTCTCCTAAGGGAAGGAGCTGGGATTATGTTCAGAAATCCTGGACCCACGAGCTGTGGTTGTGGTACCTCCACCAAACACAGAGTGTCTCCAGGCTCAGGGACGCAGTATTTAAAGGGAGACTCACTCTTCCGTAAGGTTCCAGGGAAGTTTGCACCCACCTCCGCACTTTGTTGAAAAGTCAAATTCAGCCATATGAAGCCTGCACCTCTATCACGAACACGTACACAAGTTCATTTCCACTGAGAATCAGCCTTCAACTGAAGTCTCCAAAGAAAAACAGAATGACCCAGAGGTGGTTCAGAAGCTGTTTGTCTGTAACATACAGGACAGAACTCAGCCAAGGATGGAGCAGCAACAAGAAGTAATAAGAGGAGTAGGGAGGGCTCACCTCCGCCCGGTTCCTGCTCCTGGGGGTCAGGGCAGCGGTCTGTGCCTGGGCCTGGGGTGGGGCCCTCGGTGAAGCCCCCGCAGCTGCCCCTGCCTGTGAGGACCAGGTGTGTGTTTGTGAGATTAAGTGGCCCTGTGAGCCGGAGAACATAAGCCAGGGTGGCGATCGTCGCCCCCATCACGGCATCGATTCACCGTCCACAGCATGCACGAGTGCAGCTCTCACTGACCCGCCTTTGGTGCATCTTCAAGCTGTTAATAAAAACTGTGTCTCATGTCAGTCTGTCGCTTGGTTAGAACCATGGTGTTGAAGCCCTCATTTGAATCCTGTGAGTGTTTTTGAAGGCTGGAAATCACTAAACTGTCATAGCGACAAGTAGAAGAAGCATTTATTTCTGGGCACGGTGGTGAGAGCCGGATGGGTGGGGCCACCGGCTGGGTGGGTGTCAGACAGCAGCTTGCCAGAGCAGCGGTCACAGAGCCTGGGCAGACCCTCTCACCCGGCTCTCGGCCTAGGGGCAGGGCGGCTCCTGCTTCTCCCCCTGAAATGCAGGGGGTGGGCTGACTCTGGACCTGCTGCTCCCGGGATGAGGCGGGCCCTGGGCGCAGGCACCCCCCCACCACGGTATCCTCTGCCTGCAACTCTAGGGCACAGGGCCACTCAATCAGCCTTTCCTTCTTCACTTCGGGTTTTTCATCCGTAAAATGCAGAAGCCAGTGTAGCTGTGTCAGGGACCACTTGGTGCTTAAATTGGTCCATGGTCTCGAAGCCCCGTGCTGGCTGGTCACGGCTCCTGTCACCTGCGCTAGGTCTGGGATGCGGGTCACTGGGCGCGGTGCCCACCGCTCATGCCGGGACCGGGCAGGTGTTCCTCTCCCCGTACTCTCTCCTCTCCACGTCCCCTGGCGCAATCTGTAAAGGCCAGTTGCCAAGATCAAGATTATAGCACTTAGAAATTCCTCATTGATTGGCTCTGCTTTCTCTACAAAAGCAGCTGCCAAATTTAATCTGAGAAACTGCTCATACATTCACGAAATGCTGCATGCCTTGAAAGAGAGGAGGGAGGGTAAAGCGTCAAGTTAGTTTAAAGGACTTTCAGTGAAGAGATTAGTCCAATCAAGGAAACCGCAGCTTTGTCTACGTGTTTATTCTTACTTGTGACATGGAGACTCCTGGGGCAGAGCTGTCTGAAAGTGCTGGCTCAGGGGAGTGAAGTGTGCTGGGCATTGAGTTTATGAAACTTTATTTTTATGGTATTTCTAGAAAGGCAGGGTCTTCTTTTTATTAACAGCAAAACGCATTTGGAATTTTCACATTGAAAGCATTTACACCCCAGCTGTTCTTTCCTCTGTTCTCCGGCATGCTCTAGGGTTTTGGCAATAAAATAATCGGGTGGCAGTGGCTCATGAGGACCTGCTAGCCTGGGGAGCATGTTTATTCCCCTTGCGGTGTGTTTGGGTTGATCCAGGTTCAGAGGGAGATGGATGGTCCGTTCAGGACCTGCAGGCAGAGGTGCGGGAGTGCAGGACAAGGCCTTAGGAGGTGGGAGACCTTGCAGACCTGGGAAAGTGAGCACACATGCAGAAGCTCACGGGACCTCCTCCAGGGCCGTGGGTCCCGTCTCAGCCTCCCACTGACCACTCCTGCCCACAGGAGACCACTCACCCCTGGACCTCTGACCTCTCCCTTCTGATCCAGGGGCATTTCAGTCCCGAGGCTTCTGAACGCCCACTCTGGGGCCGTCTCTGCTGGACCGGATGCCCAGGCAATGCTCTGCAGAGCAGTCACCAAAGGGGAGCCCAAGAGCAAGCTCACGTCTTCTCCGGGAAGTCTACTGGGCTTGCCTTCCGCCAACTCCCCAAAGAGCGTGTTTGGAAAATTGGTCACTTAGGAGGCTTCATGCATCCTTGGGGACAGGACCCGTCCAGAGTCCTCCACGTGCCCGTACAGGCCTGGCTCGCCCTGTGGTGAAGCCCGGGGGTCACATCACGTGTGGTCCACAGAGGCGGGGGTCAGCAGTGACTGAACAGCCCGCCAGTCTGCCCCGGACACAGACCGCCGAGGCTGCACCTTCACAGCGTGTTGGAAGCAGCCCTCTGCACGAGGCCTGTTGCTGAGCCTGGGGCTGCTTGCCTGGCACTGGCATGGGTGCTGCAGACTCGGTTGCACCCGTGTTTGGCAAGCTACCAGGGAAAGCCCTTCAGCCAGATAGCGTATTTGAGGCGTGTTCCTCATCAGTGTGGCAAAACTGTTGCATGCTAGGTAGTAAGAGCACGACCCGCTGATTGAGCATTTCTTCTGGGTCCACAGACAGAAATTCAGCAAATGTCTGAAACCGCCTGAGATGGGGCCAGCCCCGAGGGTGAGCCTTCTGGCCTCGGTGCTGGGCGAGCCAGACCCTGGGGTGACCTCTGTACCTGCAGGAACCCAGGTTAGGTCACGCCCTGCACATGTCTACTGATTTGTCACTGCTCTTGTTCCGCAAGACGTGTGTGATCTAGTCCTCACCGGTCCCTGGCGTCCTGATGTCTCAGAGGCAGAGGGGGACACCTCCGAGACCCGGAAGCCCAGGATCATCATGTGGACGTCAGAGAGAAGACAGGAAAAAGGGCGCCACTGAGCCCAGCCGTCGCCCCCCGAGGGCACTTCTCAGGCGGTTGGGGCCCTAGCACCTCCCGAGGTGTCTGAGCTGAGGGGCCCGTGGCCCACAGGCAGCGCGGCCTGCCCTCTGCCCTCAGGTCCCCAGCAGGGAGTTCGGCCCTTGGAAAGCTATCCTCTCAGTGAATGGGGCCGTTTTGGAGGGAACTAAAGAACTGGCACCCAGCTTTCCTGACAGACTGAGGGTGCATGCTGACGGGGTCGTTGAATTGCCAGGACGGGGCAGGAGAAGACAGCCCGGATGGCAGAGGAGACCCGCGCGTCCCTCTCCCAGAGCATCTCTGTCCCTGAGGCAGGCTGGACCACTCTGCAGACAGGAACCACAGGGCTGCTGCAAATACTGTCGGCGAATTAAAGTGGAAGTGTTCTGAAGGAAAGAAAGCACCATTTGGACATGGGCAGTGTCCCGTCCTGTCGGCATAGGCGGGTGGGCCTGCCAAGGGTGGAGGGTGCCCGTGAGTACTTGCCTGCGCCTGGCATGGGGCTGCAGGGCTGGCCGACAGACCCCATGCCTAGGCGGCCTCGCTTTTCTTTCTCCGATTTCAGTTTTGCCAACATCGTGGCAGCCACAGCAACCCTTCTTCCTGCTGTTGGGACGTCTTGGCCATTTGTGATGCAGACCGGTGCGCTCCAAACCTTCTTGTTTAGTCAACAGACACCATTTCAGGTCAGCATGCTGGTGTTTTCACCCCAGATTTTCCCACATTTGCTGTGAAGCTTACTCAAGTTCCTTGCCCTGGGGACTGTGCACCTACCGTGACCTCAGGGTGAATGAGGGTAACCAAGTATTGTTCCTTTCCTAACAAGACCTGTCTTAAAGGAGATGATCAGTGAGCAACTGCTTTATAACCTCCAAAGTCGGCATTAATACTCATTGCCTCTAATGCTGGGAAGTCAAGTCCCCCTGGTCTGTGGCCCAGGAACACAGTTTATTATTTGTAGTGTTATCACTGTTGGCTGCATGGGTCTTCCACACTTTGTCTGGCTTTTCTCTAGTTGTGGTGAGCAGGGGCTGCCCTCTAGTTGCAATGCACAAGCCTCTCATTGCAGTGGCCTCCCTTGTGCTGAGCGCGGGCTCTAGGCATGCGGGCTTTAGGAGCAGTGGCCCCAGGCTCCGTAGTTGTGGTCACGCCAGGGAAGTCTGGGACACTGTGTGTGTGAAGCGCTGTTCCAGCCCGCCTCTGAGCAGGTGTGAGGGGATCTCACTTCCTGGGGTCCTCAGGTGCCAGGGGGGCTTCCCACTCCTTTCCCTGGTCCCTGTTTGTGTGAGGAAAGCCTACTCCACCTCCACTAACAGCTTATACAGTAAAGATAAATATTTTTGCCACAAGTGGATGATATAACCTCTTCCCCGTGCGCAGGACTTGCCATATTGCAACCGTGTCCATCTCAAATGTTTGTTTTGTCCCCAGAGGCCACTCTGCAGGGAACTGCCGCTGGCGTTGTTCCATCTCCGAGGCCAAGGTCCTGCTCTCCCCGTTACTTGTGGGGAGGCGGGGCTGTGTACTGGGAAATGTGCAGCTCTGGAGGCAAGCCTCCTGTGGACCCCAGCTCTGCAGGGAGGTGACTCAGCGACCCTGACTCCCGGCTGCATCCCACAGAGCCTTGCTGGCCTCTGTGTCAACTGAGAGTTAACACATGCAGCCAGTCACAGTGGCGTTTCTGAACCATCTCACCAGTTCCCCCATCAGGAGCCATTTTCCTGGACTGTGAAAGGAGTTTTTCTAAAGCTTTAAGTTCTTGGTTTGATTTAACCAAGACCCGAAGAGCTGTGGCTTGTGAGAAAACCCAGTGCACATACATGGGGAGGGGGGTGACTCAGGACTCATTTTCCGCCACACAGTTTTTACTTTTAAAAAGAAATAACTCTCTCAAAAATATTGTAGGGAAACTAGCAACAAAGGAGGAAATATTTTGCACAGGGGAGCAGAAGCAGGGCAACACACACACGGATCTTTTCTCAAGGGTGGTATTTGACCTCTCCCACCATGAGCTTCCTGAGAAAATCACTACATCTGCAGACTGGAGACAATGAGGTTCACAGAGGGGAAGGCAGGAGCGTTTGCTAAAAACACGATGCTCGTTGCCATAGCAACTGTGGCTCACAACTGTTTCCTGAGCAGGATGGAGCTGGAATTCAAATGGGGTCTAATACAGATACCCTGATATTAATCAATATTCTTCATTAGAAATAGCATCACTTACATGAAACATAAACATGAAAGAAGGAATGTTTCGTTAAAATATGGTTGGCCATCTAAAAGTAGTTCTTGTTTATGAAGAAATACCAGCTTCTGTTTGGGCTTGGATGAGAGGAAGTGAGAGAAATGGAAAATCATTATCTGAGCTAGCCCCCAACTCAGTGGCTTCGTCTTCAGTACCATTTACCAGGTAGGGCATGATCAGGAACCGGGATGAAAAGGATGAAGCAGAGGCCACACAGAGTTTAGGTGGGGGCCCAGCCAGGCACCGCATGAGGGACGGTCCCAGGCAGCTGTGCCCGGGGCTGGGGACCCGCCTGGGTGCAGAGAGTGGGGGCGGGAGGAGCAGGCACTTGGGGACCCGCCTTTGTGCAGAGAGGTCGGGGGTGGGGGAAGTAGGCGCTGAGGTGTCCCTGCTGCAGGGGCTGTGGTGCGCAGGGAGACCCCGCAGACGCTTTCCCTGCACTGCTTCCAATTCCTGCAGCACGCAGGCAGGCGGCTGTACTGTCTTTCCTCACTGACAAGGGACGTGGGCTGAGAGAGGCTCAGTCACTTTTTCAGCATCACACAGACATTGCTTGCTGGGCTGAGATTCAAAGGCTCCTCTGATTCTTAGTTCCAATCCCTGCGTGTTTTCAGGCACATGGCCCTCTTCTTTGTTCTAGACAAATATTGCAGCCATTGCAGCGGAAAATGGTGGGAGCAGGGCTGAGTGTGGAAATAAAACAAAACACAGGCCGAGCTCCTGACCCCACACAGCTGCCTGTCTGCCCTCTGGGTTCAGAGGGATGTGTGCAGGCCCCATGGACGGGCGATGCTGGGGGCTGGGGAGGAGCTGGGGGATTCCTGTGGCTTGTGCACCTGCTTCCTGTGTGCGTTACTAGGCAGTGCGCCTGAGTCCAGTTCTGTCTGTTGTTTGTGGAAGCAGAATTCATCTACAGTGCTGTTAGTTTCAAGTGTACATACATATACATCTATTTTTTTCAGATTGTATTCCCTTATAGGTTTTTAAAAAATTGAGTATAGCTCCTTGTGCTGTGTGGTAGGTTCTTG